TTCGGTGGTATTGCTAGGTTGTTTCTTATGTCACAGTACTTCGTGCAATCTTGGACGATGTGTTGAACTGAAAGGTCAGTATGGCATATATCATAAATGATAATAATTTGCTAATAAGAAAAGAGTGGGTTTGGAAGGAGTGTCCGATTCTGTATCTTGTGATGGCAACTTCCTGTCGTCTGTTGAAATAGTAAGGTGAGATCCATTATTTTGTGTCTTTCTTAATTGTTTTAAGTTTATTAGTGGGAGGTATGGCATCCCAATAATTTTGCCACCTTGAGTATGTTATGTGTTTAATGGATAATTCAATGTAATATGTCGGTAGGCCAGATATTTTTTGGATTGGTGATGATTCTGATTGCAAGGTCAGCTACCTTGTCAGCCAATTCGTTGCCGGTTACACCTATGAGGGATGGTACCTACATAAGCTTTCTTATGTTTTTTTCTGGTCGACTTTAATATATTTTGGATATTTTGTGTAGTTTTATTTGAAGGTAGGGGGGGTTTTGAAGAGCTTAGTATGTCACTTAAAATTAAAATATCGTTCGAGGTGATAGTCTTGGCCAATATGATTGCTTCATAAATGTTCATATTATCATATTAAGTGTTCATCATATACATTTATAGCCGCTTACATATATATTGCTCGTTAAAAGTAGTTAACGATGAACAACCGTTTGTTTAATAGACCTAGAGGTGAGGCCACGATGGATTTGTCGATTCGTTTAGCTGCATCCCCGTCTCCCGAATACTAATCATCCCCAATCGCTTATCATTATTTTATTTTTTTTGTACAGAAAGCATAACAACGAATACATGGCTCGTAGACGTACGACCTGGGCGTAAGTATAGCAAACAACCCACAAAGAACCCCGAATTCAGGCAATATTGTTAATATTAAAAGACGTACCTCACAATATCGTAGAATAAACGGTCATGTATACATAACAGCTTGGCCATATAGGCGGCTTTTAAAGTTTATAGCGTTGTAATACATAATATATGTATTATATGCTTAATGTTAGGTGTAGGTTATTTTAAAGGCCTCGGCTTTGTATAGATAATAATTTAAGTACATTATGAAACGTGACCTTTTTTTTTTACGAACCGTAAATCGTTAAAAAGTCATAAGAGTTGTCTATACGTATAAACTACATTATACGTACTTTTTTTTTTTTATATATCCAAACATGCGTACATGAGATGTCATGGTTTTCAAAAGTGATGTATTCAGTCGATAATGCAAAAATCGAATTTTTTTTAACAATTCATTATTTTCTACGTAGTGTTTTACGCGCACATATGATATTATACACATATTTCAAAGTCTGTAAATATTACGAGCGTCAATCTAGATAAATATATATACGAAACAGATAAAGCGCACACGCGTTTGTACACGGAAAATCATAAAATGGTGTCTTCGCTAAGAACACAAAGTTCTGTTGTACAATTACAACAACTTCAGTTCAACGTTTAGACAAAACAGTACACGTACTCCGCCTTTCAATAGGACACGGTTACACCTAAATACGGTCGTCTATAGATTTAGTTTTCGTCTGTATCGCGTCGCAATCGCCGTCCGCGCGCTATGTTTTACTACAAAAATAATATTATTATTGTACGTTGTACATTATCATACCGCGGAAAACTGAACGCTCGATACTGCGATTATTGCGCGGTCCGTTCGTGTGCATGATTACAATAACGTAAAAGGCTGCGTCGGAAGTCTATTGTAAAAGACCGATGAAAAAAAAAAATAAAAAAAACAAAGGAACACAAATAATAAACGTTTTCTTCGGTTCGTATGCGATATAACAATGCACATAATGTTACACAATCGGTGCACGACAGCATTATTATATTATTGTCGTTGCCCATTGTCTCTGTTGGAGTGTTTTGCCGGCAAGTTTTTGTGACATCAATTTCCAACGACCCTGTCCGACATACTACACAGCGGTTCGAAACGTGTGTGCTGACCCGATTGAAACGCACCACGAAGACGATAAATACGGACGGTTATCGTTGTTGTTCAAGTGTAAAGTACGTAAACGTTTCTTGGGACAGTTCCTTTAAGGGTGCGATGTTCACATTCACTTCGTGAAGTAAATCGCGCTGCATCGTTGTAGTCGAACGCACTCGAAGTGCTTACCTGCCTCGCGTACAACTATACTAGTGCGACGCGTATTTCGTACTAATGCGTAACAACGCACCGGTGAAAATGAAAATTCTGATCAGGATTTCCTGCAGATATGTCCACAAAGAGACAAATCGTTCGCGTGAACCACAGAAAAGCGCAACGCGTATAAAAATATTATTTTTGCGCTCTGAAAATTAAGTGTATCACACATGCTATTGCGCCGGACACGCCGCGAAGGTTTGATATAAACTTGGTACAAAAAATAAATAAATAAATAAAAAATAGTATTATTCACACGTACCGGAGGTAGAACGTCCTCGGTGTTTCTCGTGCTTTATAACTCTGACGCAGTGGTCTTATAGTTTACCTGCAAATTTTTGTTTTTTGCGCTACGGCATTTTATACGATTACGTGCAACGATAAATAAGCGCGTTTTAACCATGGAAAAATAAACGAAAATTGTGTTTTTACCTAACGCTTTAATCGTAATTGTTTGTATGAATCGTGCCGAGAACCATAGTACCCACGGTGTATAGGCACGACTAGGTGGAAATTAATGAGAGTGTATTCGTTAATACGTGCGTCATGGAAGGCTTCACGTCCACCTCACACCGTCTACTTGCGCCCCGACCAAATCGATATGCATTAAATAATTCAGCATAACACCATATTGTACCTGTATATTGTTCAATAACATAATTTTCGTACTTGAATCAAAGTTTTTTTTTTTTTATCCTATGACTGGTTAATTTTTCGGTTATTTTATGAGACATCGTCTCGTTATTCTGGAGCCTACTAAGTTGATAGGAAAACTTTTAGTCCCCCCCATCCTTCCTCCCGCCGATCATTATAATAATTAAAGGTTATACGGATTTAATAAATTTCTAATGTTACTAGTTTACTACAGCGGTACATTTTCCCTTCTAAATAAAAAACGTGTATCATATAATCATTTATTGCCATCAGGAAGTCGGGAAATGTAATATTTTTATGGATCTGAAGTTTTTGACGTATAGGGTATTGGTAAATGTTAACTAATACTGGTAATGCTAAGCTATTGATATACATATATAAGCTGAACTATTCGCGATGACAAAAATATCGATTTAATAAAATATTATTCATAAAATAAAAATGTATAAACCAGAATTTGTATACGTAATATGGAAATTATTATTATTACTTGCGTCTGTGTTGCGTACCAACTAACTTGTTACGCAGTTCGTTGATACAACATCCTATCGACGATAAGACTCTTGTGTACCTATATGGTTATTTTTCAAACATAAAATCGTGTTATTTTATTTATTCGTTTAAATTAAACACTAAGAAAATGTTATTATCAACATAATATGTAGACACTTGTTATATAATATATACGTGCAATTTTATGAGCTACGCAGTAATACTTGTAACATATATTGGGTATACACTTAAATCTTCTATTTGTTTCAAATAAAAAGTATATTTTCATTATTATTGCTCTTTTATTCAGTGTAACATTTTTTTTACGCAACAATATACATTTGTTATTCGTGGTAATTTCCTGTTCATGTAAGTGATTTTTATATAATTTATTAAAAACACAATTTTTATTTTTATTGTTCGAATTAATTATTTTAAGTTCTATTGTAGCAGATTATCAAAGTGAAACACAAATTGTAATCGACAAACTAATAATTATACTTTATAAGTATACGTATCAATACAATAGTTTTTTTTTTTTGCATTCACTCCCTTGTTGTAAGTACATTCACTATAGTCACGAAATCAAACAATTATTATAATGTTGTACTGACGACAGCGTACCTCACTTAAATTTTTATGCAACAATATTTCTGATATAATCGGACACCTTAATGAAACGATTTACATTTTAAAATTCATTTATTTTTCAGACATATAAGTATACACGATGTGCGTTAATAACTTGCACACGGTACTTAAATCTTATTCACGTGCGTAATAATCCGGAAAATAGCGTTTTATACCATCAGGTGTATGTTAAATTGCTCGGGCGGGTAACACGGCGTAAACATTGCAATTTTTACCAAATCGTCTACTACGATATGCAATAATTGTATATACACTGAATATATTACTAAATGCAAAGTAATATTTCTGAATTAAGTTTGGTACTGCGTTCGTAATAAAAATTTAACGATTTTTTTCGCGCATGTCATTTGTTCGCAAATAAATTCTACGCTCCGTGAAAATAAATAACACTTTAAGCACTCAAGACAAGGTTTTTCGGTAAACGTTCAAACCTTTAAATTATTAGAAAATGGGATTTCGACGCCGTGGAACAGACATAAATAACCGACTTGCTGCGAGTTAAGGAGGTGGTAATAAATTCGATTTATTTTTTCAAACACGTCGTGCGAAGATCGCGATGCAGTGTATTATGTATTATTTTGCGACCAAAAGCTACGCGTAAGCGGCTTGTGACGGTCGACACTGAAACTGTCCGTCCCTGCCGACGATCATTTTGCGCACGCTTTAATTACTGCGGTGTGCAGCACGCCCGTTTTTCGTGCATACCTGTAAAACAACAAAACCACAAGACCGCGACGGCAGCGCGCGCACATTCATAACACAAGTGCGTCCCGAAAATTCCAATTAGATTGTCGAAAATCAAGGAACTACCGTGTGCTAATTACACATAGTATTATGGTTGACGTGTGATTCACGTAATACCGCCGAAAGAAAAGAAAAACGATAATTGGGGAAAGTGGATGCGATTAAAACGGCGGTGATGATGATGATGACGATGACGTCCGCGATACGATGATGTATGGTTGTTATTATTATTATTATTTTTGTGTTGCTCTACGATCGCGTTTGAAACAATGAGATGATAATTTTCTAGTTGTGAAATTCGGCGACACCATGTAATATCATACCATTGTAACAGCGTGCTACAGGGAAAGAGTCACCGAATTGTAACGGAAAACGCTTTTTCCATTATTGTATTATGGCGTTTGTCGTCAGTCGCATACTCTCGTCTCGTTCCGGCATCGTCGTCTGCCGTGCTCCTCTTCGGCGAATCGTCTCGCGTCCTGCGGGCAGCTCGTTCGTCCTCGCGGCGTCGCCAGATTGTTCACCATCATCGCATCCTTCTCTCCGACCATCGCCCCTAACCCGCAACGGGCGTCATCATGGTCGGACTGACCGCACCGTCCGGCTTCTGGGCCGCCGCCATCGGACTGTTATGTGGACTTTACGGCTCGTACACGGGCGCCGTCATGGCAAGATCGAAAAACGACTCGTCGAACGCGAATCTGCAGAACGGCATCCGCAGCAGCAGCAGCACAACGGCCGCCGGTACCACCTCCTCGTCGCTGCGTGACGGCCTCGAGACCAGCCAGACTCGTGTCAACACGGTGGACGGGCCTTCGCCGTCCGACAACTTCAACCGTGGTTCGGACTACCGGGTGTCTGGTAAAGGCGAGTATCGCGGGGATAACAGTGGACGGGCGGTGTTGAAAAGGTTTTGTCCTAGGGGACAAAATGGATAGACAAAATCGGACAAGACGTGTCCCGAACATAATCAAATAATATAGTTATTTGGACGTATTGGACAAAATCAAAATTTTTATAATGGATAAGAAATTAATTATAATTTTAATTAGTTTTCAGTCCATTAATTTCTTTAGTAAGACTTTTTACCTTAAGTTTTACAGGTGTAACAATTTTAAATATCTAACTTGACTTATTAACCAAACATAAAATAAAAAGTATAAAGAGTAAACTGACATATTATATTTTAATGATAAAAATGCAATAATTAAGACTTAGATAGAAAATACTGAATAATATTCTAAATTGATCAAACTTATCCAATACAATGCTCTATTCACAGTTGGCACGTTACTGTTACGTGTAATTCTGCTAGTAAAACATCAAATGCCAACTAGTCACTAATGAAGACTGGTGAAATAATGATAATATTAGTACACACATATAAAATGAAACAATTCATTATCGACATGTATTTTGTTTAAACCGGTTAAAACCTGATAAAACCCGTTGAAATTTTCCAAAGTTTTATATCGTGTTATAATATTACATGTTACAAGGTTTTGTCGATTTTGTTCATTTTTGGACAGAGTGCAGGTCTGAAATCAAAAGCAGTGAACAAAATCACACCCCTGGTATGCAGGGGTAGTGCACGCGGTGGCGGATAACGTCCGTGACGATTGTTTTTCGAAACCGGTTCCGCGATCGTCGATCGAGCGACGTTGGGTTACGACTATTGTCAGAGACGTATTTAGAGTTTTGACGCCCCAGGTACAGTTTTATTGCCATCCCTACACATGTTTTATACGATTTTCAAGAAAGGTAATATTTATTATCTATGGATTTTACACCAGCGGTTCTCAAACTTTTACGACCACGGAACCCGTAAGAAATATTTTTTGTTTCGCGGAACCCCAACGTCTATAACTCCATATTGACCCAAATTTTTCATTTATTTATTGTAAAACCTGTACTCCAAAATGTTTTATAGATAGTTCATGATTATTATTTACAACAATTACTGTTCTCAATATTCATTTACACCTTGCGGAACCCTTAAGATTGTCCCACGCAACCCTTAGGTTCCGCGGAACACACTTTGGGAGTCGCTGTTTTACACGATCAAGTTTTGATAATATTGTCATGAAAATAAAAATCGCCGTGTGGTCACTTTGCGAAATCTTAAAATATTAAAATTGTTCGATAGACGAATGAAAATAGATGATGGATTATGGCTACAAAAAAATGCTGTCACCCTTTAATTCCAAAAAAATGTACCGCCCAGGGCGATGGTACCCGCTCGCCCGCTTCCCTAAACACGTCACTGACTATTGTTGACTATCATCCCGTCGACAACGAACGTCAAAATTACTACGCACGCTGTTGGCGAAAAATTATGAACTGTTTTATAAACCGTATAATCGGTGCCGGGCGGAGTGGTTCTCGATAAAAATCCAATGTTTTCGCGACGGAGTTTATTAACCATTTCAACGTGTAATCACTGCAATCTTACCGCGTGCGACAATGGTATTTGCGCGTGTGTATGTATCGGGCGCGGGTACAGGATTAGAAAACCGCGTGAGCACGTTTAACCGGTTTAATCGACATAAATTCGGCGACGACTAATATATCCCTCGTAATTTATACGCGTACGTATTTAATACACGAGTGCGTCTGTGCGCGTTTCGTACGATGTTACGTAACGAACTTGTTAAACGAACTGGAGTTCATGAAATACACATAAAATTATAAAACGACGATCGAGTACAAATGTAATTAATAAAATCGGTATAAATAACCTAACCCGTAGACGCGATTGTAAATGTATACACAGTATAATATACCATGCATTATATGCGTTATGTGTGCGCATAAAAAAATACGAGTGGATTACACTACCCCGGGGGGATAGACACCGTTCGGAGGTGCGGTCGTGTACTCGTATCATATTTACATGCGACGACGAATACGTCTGGGAGAGAACAATTCTTTTTTTTTTTTTTATTTCAATCAATACGAGCGCAAAATCTTCACGTCTGCCGGTCATCGTTTCGCCTTTATTTGTTTTTATGCGTGCAGTACGCGAATACGTATACTTGCGTTTTGTCTACGGTACATTCGCGTAATAGGGTACAGTAACTACGGATCGCTGAACATGCACACCTGGCTTCGTCTTAAGCGCACGACGCAATTTCTCGAAGCCTTTTTCTCGCGTGTTCTCGTATACTCGTATGTAGTTTTAAGATCTCGTACGACCCTAATCCAGAGGCAGTAGGAGGATATTTTATTTTATATTACTATATATATATATATATTTGTATGTATTTAGATGTACTCACGTCGATATTTTGTATTACGTACAGATTTCGGTGGCGGCGGTTCAGGTGGTTACCCGTTTCAAAACACTTACGGTCCACCCGGGGACTACTATTATGACGAACGACCCGAGTACTTTAGACCTAACCATCACGTCGGAAGTCGCCCGCCGAGCGGACCGCCCGATGTGTTCTACCACGACCATCCACCACACCAACAGCCGCAACATTACGGCGGCGAAGGTCAACATCATCATCACGGCGAGTTGAACGTACAACCTCTGCTGTGGCCTTTGGCCGGGATCACGTTGCTCGGGGTGTTGTCCGCCCTCGTCAAAGCCCCGTTGTTGTTACATTTGGGCACCGTCGGCCACCGTCGGCGCCGCAGGAGAGACGTGACCGATCCCGATCGAGGAATCACCGCGAAAGCGATAAAGTCACTTTTGGCCAAGGTATTATACACGATTATGAACTATAAACCGTTTCGCAGTTCGAATTGCGTTATAATCGTACTTCGTAAGAGCCGTGTAAGACGCAAGAGTACTGCAACGGGTGTAAAACCGGGCACATTGTATAATATACGTTTGACTGCACAGACGGACCGATACGAATCCGTTCGGACTGGGATGAATCGAACAAGACAAACATCGAACCTAGATTCCAATGGTTTTTAACCTTTTAACGTTGCGTGAACAACCGTGGACCGCGATGAATTCTTCAGTCTATATTTTCAAGACTCAATTTGTAGTCGAAATTACTTTTTTTACCGTTCACGTATAACGCTATAATATTTCGTTTAAATATGTTTTATTATTATTTATTGATAGAAATGCCCGCGAATAGCAGACGGTACAATATATATATATATATATAAATTGGAATTAACATAATATGAATAACTAAAAAACAAGTACACGTTTTGAAGTAACATAACAGAACAGTCTGAAATCAAAGAGATGGTTTTTTCAATTTACGATTACCATCGAAAAATAAATTGAATTAAGGTAGATTATCGTTACAGTAATGCAGGACTCTATTGATGGGAATATGGAGAACACAATTGCGATTACCCGGTGCAATATAAAATAGGGTGGATATACTCGTAGTATTACTCGTGGCGATATTCGTATATAAACAATGAATTTTAAGTTACGAACAAGATCTATGAATTCGCGAAAACGTATAGTTATATTTGGACGAATTCGAATAAGTCCAAGCTGAAAATGTCAGTTAAATTACTTAGATTTTCGTATGGAGACATGCGAGTATGTGTGGTACTCCGGTAGTATCTATCACAGTAATCGTGAAATGTATTTCTTGCACGTCAATATTATAAGTTTAACCGACCGCCGGACGAATTATATTATTTTATCGCCGCCAGTCACGTGCTAGACGATAATTAAATCAGTGGCGTCCATATTGTATTTATATTTTTTAATGTATTCATCATATTAGGTCACACACACACGCATTCATACACATCATTGACACGCAAAAAAAAAATGTTTTTTACATTAAATGTCATTAACATAATGATATTATTATTATTTACCTTTATGACCATTGAAATTCGTAGTTTGCGCTTAATATATATATGTATTCATTCGTGCTCGTTTACAATCACCTTTGTTAATATTTATTATTATTTTAAATATATCAATGCAAACTTCCGTTTTTCATTATTCGAATTGTTTTTTAAAATCATATTCGCCACAGGTGTAAATATTTATTGATGTATAAATATATACGTGTGTGAGTGATATATTGTTGTGTTTAGAAACTCTAACATTGAAATTGAGATCATACGAGTACATCGTTACGATATTCCGAGTACAGACTTATTTTACTAAACGACATTCAATCGTGCATTGTAATTGCATTCGATTTTATTGTTAACAGTTAAAATGTCGTCTATATATAATTGAAAATTACATTTTTTTTAAAGTAATTATATAATTTTTAAAACTTATGTCAATCAGTACAATTCGTACAAATAATTATGCACAAACGGTATAACTGCGTATTAATTATTATTACGATTGTAAATGTTGTTTTGTCCGTAGTAATGTCGCTGTGTCTCTCACGATCATAGTATACGCGCGACAATTTTAGCTTGTCAAATGCACACAACATTACGATATGTTTTTTATAATTTATGCTTTGCGTACGTGGTTTTGTCGCTCGAGGCGTTTTCGAGCAAAAATAATTATGTTGTTTGGTCTATTTATCGGATTCGACAGAGTTGAAAAGTATTCGGACGTGGTGAACAACTGCCGTTTTCTTTTTCTTGTGGTAGTTTCGACTCGCGGCATTTACTCGTCCGGCCGGACTAGGGGCGACTCCGGGGGGGGACCCTCCCAAACCCGTACCGTATTTATAAAAAAATTTACATTGTTAACAAAAAATGCATAGTATTAATATGGACATACTATACGACACGTACAAGTATGTAGATAGAGCCATAGAGATATGACGGTGTATACGATGTCTATATCTATACTACGAAGAACCAATAAAACTATAAATAAATTATATAAATATAAAATATACTATGATACTATGATATTATTATTTTATAATGTACAAAACATTAATTGCGTAGCATACATTTCTGTACGGACTAAATCGTTGTTTTCTTTTTGTTATAAGATTTGGTAAAATTATAACTTGCCCCCACCCCCTAACCAAGGCTCTGGAGCCGTCCCTGAGCCGGACCACACATAGTCGTGCCACGACGCTTTATCGCGGTTCGCGCTGTTGCCCCAAATGCGTGTCGTCATAACAATACACGTGAGCTCCAACCCGCGCCCGGGACTTGCAAACTTCTCGGGCGCACTCGAGGACACGTTTGTGCGCGCGCAGTCATCGTCATCGTATACATGTGTTTACTTACGTATGGCGTTTAATAACGCATGTTAATAAGTTACACGTTTTTTTTTTTTTTTTTTTTTGGCGCTTAATATTACGTGTTCGTAGATAAACGCGAGATATCTTGTTGCAATAATGTCATGTTTGCTACGTTTCGCCAACGCAGGAACTCACGGGTCGTCGATTTCGTTACCAGAAAAATACTATTCCGCCGTGCGGAGAACACAAACGATGTGTGGACCACGGCGCTTGTTTTGTACGCCTAACGAACGACTACTAACTCCCGTGTACGGGAAAACTCATCTTCTCTGCTGTACAATTTCACTATGATTATATGTGCGTACGGAAATCGTTCGCGCGGCACAGCAAAACATATCAAAGCAAAATATCTGTAACACATTAATTATGTTTACGAATTGTATTTATTCGCTATATTAACTCTTCTATTCTAGCTGCTACTCGTCGATGGTTTTTTTGATTTTTAGTGCACATCGATTGTACGATGTACAGGCGAGCTCAAGGAGAAGATTTGTCCGAAAAAAATCTTTATCTTTAGATAACGTCACGTAAATTGTGTCAACACCAGGTTTTTGGTTTTTTTTTTAGTCCCTCGATTTTCCATAGGGGTGTCAACGGACCTCATAGAAATTCATTAAACCTGGAATTATGCGTAGGAGTCGTAAACAGTACGGGGAAGTAACCGATAGCACTTGTCAGTTGTCACTACTCGGTTTTACCGATTTCTCCTTCAACGCCTATCAATGACATTGTCACCATGAAGGTGTTCAGTGTGTGGTTTGTCTTTTAAATCGTTGAATTCCGATTCGTGGCTAAGCGACATGAATTATTAGTAAGATGAACTCCAACAGTCGTGTTCAGCGGTTTTCGGTTATTATTTGAAAACCTGAAATTCAATACGAGAAACAATAAATAATGTAAAAAAATATTAATAAAATAAAAATTATTAGTCATTCGAGTAGCTAATAATTTTGTTTTTAAGATTTCTTCGATATGCATGTACACTTTAGACGTATACACTATACGAGTACATTGATTGTTTTCACGTAGTTCAACGACAAGGAACGACGGTGGAAGAACCCGGAAGCGTGTTTGGTTTGCGATATGGTGGCGAGCATCTACGATCTGAAGTCAACCTGCGTCGAAAGGTCCGTCTGCGAAGTGATGTCTGGGAACGGTTCTGGCGCAGCCGTAACGGACAAACTATTGTTGAGCGCGTAAGTTTCGACCCGTATCTGTGTGAAATGAATTTCCCGCGATGCAAGTAAGTTACGGGAAGAGACAACAAGAAAGTTGTCTGTACATCGTTCGTTACGTTATTATCCGATCAGAACTTTATCGCTTGTATTTGATATTTACCATAAACATGGAGAGGTTTGGCGAAATAATTTCTTTTGACGGGTTATAAAATGAAATTCTAAGGGGCGTGACGGTTTGCAAACAATAGATTACGAAAGGATGTACCGTTTTTGAAGCTTGAAATTCCATTACCTCGTTACCTCAAAACAAGCAAATTCTTATCGGACGTATACTGTTTATGTCAGCAAACTTCACTTGTAAAAAAAAAAAAAATGCAGTACACGCCAATATACACCAAGTGCATAATTTTTACGGATATAATTTCCGGACGAACTACAAGATCCAATTACGTACACTTTAATGTAATCTAAAGAATGCGCGTGCATACGCAAGGAGCACACGTATTATTAAATTATTTTATCGAATTAAGCAAGGCATTTTCAAATTAATTATACTCTATTTTATTTTTTTTAATATTATTCAACAACCATTACGCGACACTTTTCTAGATATACTACTAGAGAGCGTTGGTGTTTATACATCATGATTTATACTTATCGTTTCAAACGTTTTTCGTTTTTTGTCATGCACGTTTGATATTTTTTTTTCTTTTCAATATATATATATATATATATTTTATATCATCTATTACATTTTTCGAAATTTGGTGCATCCTTTTTTTTTTCTACAAGTCAACATACACACGTTGTTCTATCGGTTCATCGAAAATCGCATTAGCTTTAGTGATCTGTAATACCATCGGCGACAGAGGATAAAACTTATTTGTCGATCCCGAATAAATCCCCAATACCGTTCAGAACGGAAATCGATTAAAAGTTTTCGTTGTTCGGATACTTCGGTTAGTTGAAGTTATATTTAATGTAGTTAATATGCCTAGACCAACGCTCGCATAATATGTCTTTGGGCATGTACCTAGTTTACAATTGCAATAACTCAAAAAAAAAAAAAAAAAAAAAACATAAAAAATATGAGTCTAACAAAAATACGAGTCAGGAAGAAATAGTGATAGGTTTAGTTATACTGTATATATAAATTGTTGGAAAATAGTTTTCATTTTAGACTATCCGTCTCAAAAATATATTTGAATATGATTTTTAAAGTAACTGTCCCTAAATAAATACTCATTTGGGTGATTGCAGTTTTGGGCGGGAAGCAAGAACATAATATGAATGGTATATAATATACATAATATGCCTGTAGCTCAGTTTCTGTTTCTCTGTCATAGAATGATCACACAAGTCGTTGAAAACGATCAGATTCCCAAGGAGATGAAGAGACGACTGCAGGAGTCGGCAGAAACGGGCGGCAGGAGCGGAGAAGATTGCCGTCGACTGTACCCATGCCACGCACCGGAAACGGCACAGAAATAAATCCAAAAACAACATAGTATATGCTTAAATATTATAACACAATATAATCATTTTCGAATTGTACATAATTTTTACGAAATACACATTGCACATTGAAAAATTCGTCAACACATCCAATAATTTTGACTAATAAAAACATAGTATAATTATTTAAAAATATATTATTTTCGTTGGTATTGGTTTTTTTTTTTTCATATAATATACGCCTAAAATATTTTAAATGACAGCAAATAAATATAATATATATATATATATATATGATTATACTTTATATCTTAACTAATTTTACAATTTTGTCATATATATATATATATATGTAGAGAGAGAGCTACAATGTATGTAAATAACACACATATTTTTTAATTTTTTTTTTAAACATTTTTTATTTTTATAATTGGTTTTTTATAATTAATTTGTAACTTAAACGCAATCGTTAATTATTGCAGAATCAATATCTATTGAGGTAGATGGATTAATTTGTAGAAGAAAAAAAATACATAAAAATTCATATATGATTGTACTTATTTTGTTTTGTGTATACATACCCCAAACATGATATTATGATTATTCATACTTTGATTTCACTGAAAAAATAATATGCATTTGTATACTAAATAATTTTACCGTCATACTTGGTAAATGAAATCTATTTTTCGTTCTTTCTGTATGCATGTAAAAATGTATAAAACAAAAATCTTAACAAAAACTATACCTACTTAGGTAATAAATAATGTCTATAGCAGATAAACTATAACGAGCCTGGCAAAAAATTTTTTGTGGCCAAAGATCAATAAACTGTTTAACAAGTTTGAAAAAATCTGGTAATAATGTTTTGTTGAAAAAATAAAACCACCGTTGAACAGTATAGTGCTTACAGTACACAATACTATTGTTAAAGGTAATATAAAATCATATCTCAATATAATAAAACACATCGTCTGGCGGTTGAGGTATACATTTTATACATTGAAAAAACAATATTATAATAGGCGCATTGTAAATATTATTGTTTAAAAATTAATAATTGGTATTGTGTAGCACAATAAAATAAAATTATTATTTTATACATTATATGTTCTATTTTTTTTTTTTTTTTTTTAAGTATTCACCCTGATAAAAAATTGATACTAGGTATAGAGGTTAAAGTAATAATAATAATAATAATAATAATAATAATAATATTAATAATAATAATAATAATAATAATAATAATCATCGTGTCTGTGATAAGGAACAGAAAAGATATAGTTATATTTGATGATGAAAACGGATGTCAATTGTCTAATGCCCATTTACTCTGTCAATTAAATCCTATTGTAATAATTCATTTGTATAAAATGTATAAACATACATTTACAGTGTTAAGTATATGAGAAAAATTAAAACAAACCGAAATGAAAAAAAAAAACTGTCTGGAAAATAAAACTATACAGTTTTGCGGGGCTACAGATTCGTTGAAAACTGCAGTTAAACACCATCTCTAACATTGAGCAACAAGTTCAACTATTTTTCAAAATTTCTAGTTATTTTGTACTGAATTTCGGTTCTTATTACTATTTCACACGTAAATATCGCGGGCTTTTTTATGGCCGAACGAAAGAAAATGCCACTAAAATTCATTATATAAATCGTGTGTGCGCTACATCCTTATATCATATACGAATACACTTACATTTTACATATTATTTATATAATACTGTAATCATAATAAATCTTAACCGTATCTAAAAACATAAGAATAATTGATCGCATATCTAATATAATAATAATTGTACAGACAAAAGTCAAAACTATATGATATTTGAAAATCATCTTATACGCTTATCAATAAAAAAAAAAAATATTTCGTAAATTGGCACAATATCTACCCTTTTACACTGTACTTGTACTAAGTTTATGTAATTATATTATATTTTTAATAATTAGGTAATTATAATGACGGTAATACATGATTATATATATATATATAAAAAAAAAAAAAAAAAACAAACATAAGATGATAAAATAAACTTTAAATATTGGAAATAAAAAACGTTGTGCTTTAAAATGACGTGAAAGTTATCGTCGAAACTAACAAGTGTCCCCGTAACAAATAGATAATGGACAAACACAATTTTATTTCAATCTTTTTTTCAAATAACTTATTAGATAATGTATTTACACGGGTTTAATTGTACAAAATAAATAACATATTATTGGTATATCGGAATGTACAATGACAAAATAAAAATAATATATATAATAATATAATGTAATATAATAATTTTTATATTAAATGAAAAAAAAAAAATACAATAAAAAAAAAATAATAATCACATATGGCAGGTTATTGTGTGAAATGTACTATTACTTTGAGTTTGTATTTATAGTATAATAATAATAAAAATTATTTCAACGGATCAACAATGTCAATAATATATATAATCATATATGATAATAATATTTAAACAGAATGTGCATTTATTTATTTTTTTATAACTAAATAATGAAATATAATACCCAATGTTTCTGTCAGTCTGTATATTATATTTTATTTGTTAGAGCCTATTAAATATATATATTATTTAGTGTGTAACAACGAATATCATCAACCGTAAAAAAAAAAATTAAGATATCAAAAAGAAATAAAACGAAATCAAATCTATGACGTAATAACAGTAGAAAATGTGAGTGTAATATTAATCCAAGTTAAATAATAATAATAATAATAATAATAATATGTATCCTGTTAGGTTCCTATGTAGTAAGTTAAAGCCCTTCGTTATTATAATATAATATATTACCGATCACATGTATGTTGATAATGATAGTAATAATAATAATATATTTCAAAAAAGACTTAAAAGAAAATATTTATGTACGTTTTTGTGGGTAATGAATAGAAAAAAAATTGTGGTCAGTTGTTATTAGAGTATTTTTTAGTATGATAGTTTTGCGTCAAAGAAGTATATAATATGTTATTATGTATCCACCCAAAACATTAAAACTGATATTCGAAAAAAAAACGATGACTAGTTTTCCATCGATATTTATACAAATAATAAAAAACAAATATTCGTCAAACTATATACTGTCGACAAACACGTGGAGAAGGGACGAATCATTAATTTTTTTTTTCTTTCAGACCATATAATATGCGCGCATATCCTTCCCTTTTTCCTCCTGAATCATTACTAGAACGTAAGATAAACGATAATAGTTATCAAAATAATAATAATAATAATAATAAATGTTGCTTTTAATAATGATATGTCCTTATAAGTACCTAATTAGATTTGTTAAATTTAAAATAATAATTAAAAAAAAAAAAAAATTATGTAGATCAATCATGTCAGTCAAATTGCAGTCACGCAAAAAGTAAATATATAAGATAACATTTTTTTTTTTTAATTTTTTTTTTTTACCAAGAATTAATATTTTATAATAATATTTCGATACAATCAATTTATTTATAGTAATTATGTACACATAAATATATTATACTATGTACTTGTTGTTGAAAACGCTTGTCGAAGACGAGAAAAGACGCGATGGTCTTTCACGCGGAGTTCAGAAGTTAACAGAAGAATAATAAAAAGTAAAGGAAAAAAAAGTTACGACAAGCAAACTTCTCCCCCCACCCCGCAGCGGCTACTACTGGTTCACTAGGGACTGCGCTACAACAGTAACGATAGAATGGATAAGAGAGAGAAAAAGAAAAAAAAAATCGGACGTTGCACTGGAAACGAGCGGCGACAAGCCGGCGGAGGTGCGCGGTACGAGTTGGCGCGCGCGTCTTTCCGGTCGTTTCCGGCGCGACGTGTTCTGCACGTTCGAGGAGCGAGCGATCAGCGGGCACGGACTTAGCGTACTAAGCGTAACGCGTCGCGATCGCTGGCAGTGACGAACGGTAGCCGCTGAAATCGGCGGCAGCCCCGGACAGCGGTGACGGCGGGGGCGGTGCCGGCGGAGGCGTTGTGGACGGCGACGGCGACGGCGAAGGCGAAGACGACGACGGAGAAGACGAAGGAGACGACGACGACGACGACGACGACGACGGAGAAGACGACGAAAACGGTTTCGGATGCGGAGGAAGAGGAGGACGGGTATGGTGACGGGCGGGAGACGACGGGTCGGAGGCGGCGGCCGCAGCGGTCGGCTTCGCCGGACGCTTGAGCGCCACCGCCGTGGCCCTGTGCTGCAAACTCTTGTGCGTGGTCAGACTGTTCTTGGTGCGGTACCGCCGCCGGCAAAACTCGCACACGTACAGCGTGTCGGACCGCTCGTGCTTGTCCTGGAAATGTCTTTTCAGTGAGTAGTAGCAGCTGAACGTCCGTCGGCAGTACGGACAGTCTTGTGGCTCGTTGATGCCGCCGTTGGCCGGCGGTGGTAGTATCTGGTACCCTGCGGGCGCAAAAGAAAAAAAAAAGAAAAAAATGAAAAACACCTGAACGGATCCGTCACGGGCACTTATACGGAGACCCCGGACGCTCATTCGGGGGAGGTTCGGAAAGAACGGCGTTCGCGTTCACGTCCCCCGTGAACGACACACGTACGTCACTCGCTTGAACCCGAACGAATTTTACGTCTTAAATTAATTTTACATTTTCGGGGCGTTTTAAAAATATACGTGTGTACGAATAAACCGTAACGTGTTCAAGTATAGATATTAAACGTTTAGTAAAATGTATCTGAATACCTCATTTTGTAAAGGTCCCATTTGTACAGAATACGACGGTTTATAAAATAAAACGGTTAAAACGAAAACGGCCGTATGAACGCGTTCGTTTTCTCGTAGAACCTAAACGCGTACGTGTTCACCTTCGAAGAAATGAACGTGAATGAGTTCTATTTTTGAGCGAACGTTCCGAACACTGCTAACGGGTGACCGATCAGTGTACCGAGGTAGCGGTAAGAGAGGACATTGTACTCCGGTACGAAGAAGAGTTTTCGAGTTACCATAGATGAATAGAGCGTGCACCGGGTTGGATTGAAATCGTGCGTAGTCCCTACGAATCGAATCGGTTAGTCCCTTTCCTTTCGGATCCCTGGTCGACGAGATTCTTTACACCCCTGCGTGCCGCGAATCGGTACGGAAATATGCAATTTTTGTGGTAATCATCAGTAACGTTCGGCGTCTCCGCGGTTTTCCGGGCACGAGGAAATAGCGAGTTTCCGGGAGGGATGATCTCGCCAGCGAGCGTGGGAAAAAAAACCGCGAACCCACTCAGCGAGTACCTATACACCTACGTAGAACTACAGACGGCGGTCGACCGCCAGTGCGACGCCCCTCCTTCCCCAGGCTGGCGTTTGATAAATCAGATCTGCTGCCGATTAAAAATGCGCAAATGCGCGTTCCGATTTTCCGATTCCAATGGCCGAAGTGCGGTGGCGTGGCACGCGTTTAAAAACTACAAAATACCATTTTAACCTTACGGACACGTGTGCCGGATCCCTGCACGGGTTAAACTTTCTAGGGAGGATGTTTTTCGAACGTTTATATTACACTATTATCGCATGATCGATCGGAGAATTCCAAGACCGGAACATCGGTCCTGCGCAGCCTACGATTGGACGCGCAACAACGTGCCGGAATCCTAGTGAACACCACTACGGAACGCTCGGGTTTTATTATAATTCGTGTAATGTGCAACACTCCGTATTAAAACGCTTTTCGACTTCTTGCAGAACGATAATTCGACGCGCAGTTAAACCGCGCGAGAACGTGTTTAGCGATCGAAAGAATTAGAGAAAATACTTTTTTTGTTGTTCGCATTTCATCCATAAAGCATGCAGCGGACATCTGCTCGTAGGCGGTTTGTTAGCTAACTTGTGGTTGACAAGTTTTAAGCTTAACATTGCATGTTTAAAGAAAATGTCCGTTAAATACCTTAGTATTTGATAATTGGTGTAAAAGTTCATTAATAAATATTTTTGCGATGCATCAATAATGTTTTGAAATTTCGTCAAAGTTCTAAAGTAAATCGATCGAAGCGATATCACCAAGAATAGTTTATCACAAAAGTTGATCGGTTAATTTTTTTCTATCGGAATGGTTTTGGATCTGATTTTAGTTTTCAACAAACCGTAATCTTGTTGCTTGGTTTTCAATTTTTCAATTGCAACACGAATATAATATGAATAATACATGTGTATACAACGACCGTTTATGGCAGGTTTGGATAAATATATCATAATGATCGTGAAGTTAACTTGATAAGCGATTATAATATTCTCGTAGTAAACAATAATTGTTGTATTATAATCAAACAAATGTTGCGTATTTCTTAGGAGTAGAGTGAAAACATCAAAGCTAGAAGTATAATATGTTTATCGAAATGTATAAATTATTTCCGGAAAACCTATTTTATTGATTACTGAAATTATATAGAAACTAATATTTTGCTCTAACCGAACTCGTGTGAAATATATTTGCTGCGAACGTTACGTATTCAAAATAAACGGGAAATAAATATCAATCACGTCTAAAGTTACGATTATGACGATGCGCCCAACATTTTTTTTGTACATATCACTGCAGAAGGGTGTTTGCGAAAAACATGAAATCGTACTGAATGTGTAAAATATTATAATTCTCACGAGCTATTCCGTCAGTCTTGATGACGAGAGATTTCGCACCATTTTACAACCCGACATCGATGCGAAACGATTTGCTTGCGATCCGCACGCACGTTCGAGTGCAATAAAACGCGTTAAACGGCCGATCTCAATCTCGCTCACCCCATCGCCTCGGAAACACGGGTAAACACGTCAACACGCGAGTGTATAATAATGCGCGCATAAAAAAAAATATTATCGTCACGGGGCGGACGTTTCAGACATCGCTGTTAAAGAACTAACTACGTAAATGTATATGAATCGCGATCGATTCGCGCGTACGTTTATAATAAAACGATATTGCTTCCTGGTCTCGAGCACCATTGTAAAACACTATCGTGACGATGGAATTCGCATAAGAATATGATAAAATATTAAAACGCAATTGAAACAGTAAAACGCACTCGTATTCGTCCCTAGGAGGTTTATACGTGTGAAGGGATAACGATTTATACGATTCAAAAAACGTACTCGCTCGAGAACCATCAGATAATATCGATTCGAAAACGTTCCGTACGGTATTGTATACGAGGAAACAAAGGCCGATCGACGTACACGTGTTGTCCCGGTCCGATCGCGATTTCATATTCAAACTACCGCGATCCGATTGCCGCGTTCAACTGTCACGAACAATACTATCGAAAAGTAATATTCTGTGTATTCCGTTCGTTTTTTTTTTTTTTTTTGGCCGGACTTGGGCCGGCGTTTTTTCGGGAGAGCTCGAAACACCGACTCTTCGATCGTATGACGCGCGTGACATTTAAAAATAGAACGACGATTCGAGACTTGCCTGGGCTGGGCATGCATAGAGAGTTGATGGTTCTCTTATAAAGATGGTTATGGTGAATCAAATAGATAGGAAAACATCGAGGGGACGGCCGAGGCAAAGATGGCTTAGATGTACTTAGAAAAGATCTAGACAAGTTGAAACCGGATTGGAATGGAAATATGAATCTAGTTTACGCAAGAGAAATATGGGGGAAATCGGTTTTAAAAGCAAAGAGCCTAAATGGATCGTAAAAGTTAAAAAAAAAAAAAAACGATGGTTCCGCGTTTCCCGTCGGAAGGGACACGATAGCACAGATCATGCGCCGACAACGGATTCGAGAAAGCGTACGACGACGGTTTGCCGAACGAGAGAAACGACCGTCTCGTCCGTAAAAAAGCGTACGGGTACACGAAACGGTTAGATTATGGTGCACGTACATCGTTACGGTACTACCCCTGTGCAACGACAACGGTCAATCACCGTCGGGGGCGCTTAACACCGTAACACTATATGTCCGTAACACGTTGTTCATTAATAACAATTTAATCGTTTTTTTTTTTTTTTTTTTTAATCAATTTAATAACGGCTCACCTATAAATAGTAAAGTTTTACTCCCCGAGTTCGTTTCCGACGTTAATTAACTACATTTTTCTCCCGAACGTTTCTATACCACTTGCATACGTAGGAAGTATGAACAGTTGAACTTAGGAAAAGCTGAACAAGCACGCGATGTGTTTATACGTCGAACGGACAACAAAAAACCAAGAGCGGATGGCGGTGACCAGGGTGAGAGGTGTTAATTTTTTTTCTAAAACGTCCGTCTCGTAACGGTTCTCCAGAACCGTTCCAGCTCAGCACGTCTAAGTGCCCGGCACCCGTTCGATCTCCAGGATCCAGTATCCACTCCCCCCGCACCGTTCCGGGAATCGATCGCGATTCACCAGGTCGAGTATCGTGTACGGCGACGACGACGACGACTTACCTCTGAATATCGAATACTAGAATTTGACGTCGGAGTGCGTGGACGGCGGCGGGGGCGCGTGATGCGGTGGTGGCGGTAGCAGCATCGTGGGCCGCGTCTTGTGGTACGTGTAGATGTGCGTCATCAGCGAGTTCCGCGAGCAGTACACGCGCTCGCATATGGCGCACCGGTACTCCTCTTGCCTGGACGCGTGCTTGTCGGCCACGTGCCTCTTCAGGCTCGCCTTCGAGCACAGCACCTTGCCGCAGGCCAAGCACGGGAACACCTTTTTCAGTCCTGCGAACGGGACACGGTTTACAATCGTAGGAGTTTGAAACGCGCGAAAACCGTCCTGCTGGTGGACGGGGGTTGACGGGGCTTGTGGTCGGGTGGTTGGATGTTGGTAACAACGCGTTTGCTACCGTTGCACGGCGTGCGCGCATACGTGTTTACGAGTGAGGGAGGGGGAACGCGGGACGAACGGATCGCTGCAGCTATGGTTCCGCCGTTCCACACGAGCAACGGTATTTCGTACGTTATCGGAACACATCTTATCGATTAAAAAAAAAAAAAAAAAAGAACCCGGACTTGATCGCTATTTGCCACGGTAGTAGACATTTTATTTTTCTGGAACGAAAAGCACTTTTTGTGTGTTTGTATGTGTTAAGCCTTGACACTACAAAATGTATTACTGGTGTAGTAGACCTCGGAATAAAAAAAAAAAAAAAAAACAAAAACCACCGGGGAAAATAATCCAACTTATTATATTATATTTGTATGCTTAAAAAAAAAAAAAAAACCACCACAAATATTTTCAAACCGTAAAAATAATTTTTGTTTGTCTTCAGAAGCTTTTTTTTTTTTTTTTAGAACGTACAGATTTCTATGAATAAAATATAAATCACAACAAAAATCCATCCGAGTAGGTTTTACATATTTATGTAGATGTACGAATATTTACGAATCGTGTTTATTATATGTTCGTCGTGTTCTATAAATATTGGTGAGTTTTGTAATAGCAAGAATAAAGATTTTAGATCAATCATTGACTTTTAATTACTAAACGATATTAATTAAAAAATACTAAAGTAATAATTAATTATAATAATATATTTTGTAATGAAAACAATTATATTTTAACGAAAAA